GCGCGGATGACATTGTAGAGTTCACGGAGACCGGCCTCCAGGATAGAGATAAACAAGAGGTGTAGTCCCCAGCTTCGACTAGTTCAGGGTCGGGGAAAGGCCCCAACCATGAGATGTCAACACCTAGTCATCTGAGCCAGTGACCATATCTTTCTTTATTAGGCAACGGGTAAGTAGATGTAGTGTAAGACTTTGTATTACATAATGAAATGATAAAAGTATTTTTTATGTTGTATATATATTTTTAATTGTGCAGGTTTAAAGATGTCCATGTTAGCCGGGAGATGACGACTATATTAGGTCTTCTTTTGCTGGTCCGTTGCATAGATGGAAGGAAGTCCCTCAAGAAGCCAGCAACTTGATATTCTAGACTGAGAGAATCATTAGAAAGTAGGTATCTCGTTAGTGTCAAAATGAGACTTTCACTATTTCCTTCTATAAGTACCCTTCAATGGCAAACGTTTGCCTTATAGAACTGACCTTTGTCCCTTCCTTCCGGTTTTAACTCACTTAAAGCTCTCGGGTTGGTGTACTATTTTAATGTAATTATACATATAAGGTTATTGTTTTTACATTGATACAAATATTGTGTATGTAGGCTAAGTTCTAGTTGGAACCAGAGCTGGATGACATGGTTCATGATTTATTGACCAAAGTCATGCACAACAAGTACTCAAATTGGATGAGCGATGCACGTGACTGGACCGTGGCATAGGCTTATCCCGGTGCTCAACAATGGGACGGTGAGGACTTCTCACGTATTAGATTACACCGTCCTGTATGGATCCCAGAGAGGTTTTGGATTCAGATGATTTACCATGTATGCATCTCTATTGTGAGCTTTATGAACTTCCATGTGTTTTGTACCTCCTTCTATATGTGTTCTGTTTTTAACAGGTTTAGGATATCGAGCCTTAGAAAAGAAAATCCAGGATCTATAGCATCAATCAAAACACACAATTTGAGAGGGTGTCGTCCAGGCACACCAAGGGATCGATCAGTACTGCACAACATCGTGACATGATGGTGAGTATATTATATTTTTTCAATATATAGTTTGTTCTCTATGTTTACTAACAACTTAACCTAATTGTCTAATATAGGCACAGGTACTGGGTCGTGAGCCGACTATTACTGAGGTGTTTGAGCGAACTCACTACACGAACCAAGAATTCAATCAAGGTTCATCCGGCCCGATCCTCCTCAGTTCTGTTACCCCAAAGCTACTAAGTATCATGTAAGTTTTCTAAAACCATTACTTAGGTTTATCGATACGTTTGGTAGGGTTAAGGTAAAATATATTTTAATAAACATAGTGTAGCTATTAGTTTGGGCTACCATTGTTGGGCAGATGTTAGACTAAGTAGATAGGTTGAGAATGCGACTACCATTGGTATTTAAAATGCTTTAATTGTTAAAAACATGGATTAGATATGTTTGATTTACAACCGTTATGCTGCTGAAATTTCTACATATATAACCTTATTTGTTTTTGTTTTGGTGAACCACATGAGCGATTTCAATCACTTAGGGGTGAGTCACAGTGTAGTACTGACACCCCTCCCCTTGATGAGGCATCTCGTTGGGAACAGAGTGTCTGAGGACGGAGGAAGGGTCGCATATTTGGTTTCGGGACCTCCCGCGATTCCTCTTATGCTATGACAGGTAGATATAACAGTAGCACCAGGAGATCATACGATTCAACTATGGAGGTATGTTGGTTATATTATTATATACTTTTTCATTACTTTCATTACAAAAAAATTACTGATTTTGTCGAATGTTGAATATTTACAGGTAGCGGAGTTGAGAGAGAAGTTGACAAGGGTAGAGGAGGAGACGCGGCTACGGGAGGAACGCCATCAAGCCGAGATGGAGGCCGAACGAAAGAGTAGGGAAAATTTGGAGGCCAAATAGACCAGACACGCTGCTGTGTTAGCCAAACAGGTCGCCTTATCAGACCATTTTTCTGCATTTATGCGGCATTCAAGATACGTTTTCCCCCTCTCCCACCTTCCGGTAGTTAGATTGTATGAATTTGAACATTAAATTGTATGAATTTGATATTTTTGTATGAATTGGATATTTTAAATTGTATGAATTAGTTAGTTTTAACTTGTTCACAGTTTTGGTTTGTTATTTCATGGCCAAGTTTTGTATAATAAATAAATACAGGAATTATGTACGTATAGATTATTTATTTTTAAATTAATAAAAATTAGTGACAAATTAGCGAGGAAAATTCCGTCCGCTGAAAGATTCCTTCGTTGATCCGTGCTAAAAGTTTCCCTCGTTGATTTTGCTGAATTTCGTCACTATACCGTGAAGCAACCAACACACCCGTTTCAGGCATATCCATTCAATGCTCAGTGAGTGCAAATCTACCCAGCTCAAAGAAGTTAAAGGAGTTGTAAGTCTGATACCATTGTTCAATGCCATACAACTCAACATATTATGTCTTGTATATGTCTAACTCCTTCATTAAATTATATCGTATAGATGGCCATTCATTTTCATGAAGGTTAAGACATGCAGCTATCGCTCGAAAACCACAATTTCCATCTGGTGCTACATCTTGCAAATGCATAATATAAGGATGAAACATATATGGAAACAGATTCATGTACGGATGGAAATAGAAACTTATTTCAATTTCATTACGTGATTTATAAACATATCAATATTTTCAATTATAAATATACGTAAATAAAAATACCTGGATAATCGAGTAATGTTGCTTCAACTTGTGCCAAATTGAGTATATATGTGTCTTCTGTCTGAGATGCAACTAATGTAGTCCATGCTTTGTTGGAAGAATTCCAAGTATTTTTTGATCGTTTTGATGTTTTACCATTCTTCAAAATATTATTATAGATGTGTCATGTACAAAGTAGCTTTTTTGGCATCCGGGAATACAATATTGCTTGCTTTCATTAGAGCTAAATCTCTATCTGTCACGATAATACGTGGAAGAATACATTCGCCCATTAACGATTTCAAACAACTTAAAGTCCATGTATAGTTGGACTCGTTTTCTTTATGCATAAGCACAAACGCTATGCAAAATGTCATATTTGTTGGAGTTACACCAACAATCTCAAGAAGAGGCAATGCATATCTGTTTGTGTAATAATATTAATAATAATGATAAAAATTAAATTTAACAAAATTTACAAGTCAAAGAGATGCATTGCATACCTGTTCATTTGATATGTTGCATCTATCAACACCACACATGGAAATGCATGTCATATCTCCAATGATTTTGGATGAGCAAAAAATAATTCTTCCAACTCGTTAGTTGAATGATTTATACGATTTACATAAACATAATATTCGTTATGTAAAAAATGACATAACAACCTGCATTTGTGTTTTACCCGCTTTCTCTAACATCCGAAATTTACTGTGTGCATTGTATACCGTTGAGATAGTAGACACGTTTTTTGGGTCTTGCTTGAGTATTAATAAAATATCTCGTGGCTTCACGATTTTTCTTGATAAATCTTCCACCAATCGAGCTTCATTATCTGTCAATCGTCGTGGATATGGATGACCTTCCATATTTAACACAGGTTCATGATTATGTAATTCACATATCACCCTTAGTGTCCAAGAATCTTCCTTTGCCAAGCGTTTCCCATCTAGTTCGAATGGACAATTCATTTTTTTGATTCCCGTATGTTTGATGGAGATTTTTTTTTTACTTTTATATGTACCACCACGGTCACATTGAAATACAATTGTAGAGGTTTTGAATCATTTAGTAACAATAACATAACCAAGTGAATTTCCCACGTGGTGAACGCAATCTATTAAATCTTGACGAAAACTGAACACCTGAAAATGAAGAAATGAGACAAAGATACAATATATTTAGTTAATACCATGTATGTTGAAAATTGTATTTCTTTATATTTATCACTTGAATATTTAGAAATGGAACATATAAGGTAATGAATATTTAGATCATACCATGTCGGTTCAAAAATTCGGTTCTTTATTTTTATCAGTTGAATTATCATTCCATTGCAAGTCTTCTTTCCAACTTGTCATTTCAAGTATTGAAGAAAGCAAAAACGACATGGAGATACTTTTTTTTAATCATTGTGGTATAGTGGATTAGAAGAAAATAGTTGATTTCTATAGATGGAAATTTGATTTTGAGTTCTCCAAGATAATTTCAATGATAATGACTTTGATTTCTTTCCACATCCTTCAAGATTTACCTTGTTTTTAACGAAACTCATTAATTTTTATATAAATTAATCTATACTATATTATAAAACATTTGACAAAACTCTTAAAAAAACCACTTTTTTATGTATAAAATATTGTTTAATAATGCATATTACTTAAAAATCAAGATTACAATTAAATTATGCGTAAGTACAACTTATTAAAGCTCTATATGTGAGTTCGTGTAACTAACTGCAGATAAACATAATCAAATACAGGATAAACATCTTATTTTAAATATAAAAAATCTAAAATAAAATTAGGATAATCATTGAGCTCTAACAGAATATTTAATTATTATCGTTATAAAAATGTTATATTATTAAACCAAAAATAAATTATTTCGTTATTAAACTTAAATTAAATTATAATAAAAAATAAATTAAATAAAAAATAGAACTTTTAAATAGTTGATTTGATATATTTTTTTCTAAATTTTTATGATATCTTTAAATTTATATTTTATTCAAAAATAAAATCATTATTGCTTTCTTAAAAACACATAAAATCGTATTTATAACATCAACAGAGAAAAAAAATAAAATAAAATATTAAAATCAAGATATGTCTCGCTACATTGCATGAATAGTCTTCTAGTTAAATTATAATTATCAAAGCAATTTATAAATAATAGGACTCATAAAATAATATCAAGAAACAACTGATGACGTGTGTTTTTGGTGACCAACGACAAATTAAATGGTCATTAATTAAGGTGTAGAGTATATGTATATACATGAGCGGGGGGATTCCTCACACTTTGGTATTATGGAACAGCCGCCAAAGAAGAAAATGGTTCCCGTTAGCACCTCTGGATTTCAACCGGACTATGACCGGAAAGCTGAGCTCACGGCGTTCGACGAAACCAAAGCCGGCGTCAAAGGACTTGTTGATGCCGGAATCACGGAGGTCCCTCAAATCTTCATCCTACCTTCACCTGAAAACCTCAACTCCGATGATCAACCGTCTCGTTCAGAGCTAATTCTTCCGACCATCGACCTGGCCGGAATCAATGAAGATCCAGAGCGTAGAAAGGAGGTGATCGAGAAAGTGAAAGATGCATTGGAGAGCTGGGGATTCTTCCAGATGGTGAATCATGGAATCCCGATTAGTATGTTGGAGGAAATGATAAAAGGGGTGATAAGGTTTCATGAGCAAGAGAGTGAGGTGAAGAAACAGTGGTACACCAGAGATATGAGTGGGAAGAGTAGGGTGATTTACAACAGCAACTTCGACTTGTACGTTGCACCKGTGACTAACTGGCGAGACTCTTTGTACTGCACCATGGCTCCTAACCCTCCTCAGCCACATGAGTTACCGCCCTCCTGCAGGTTTCACTTCTAACTACTTCACGTTAAAGTTAATAAACTAACTTCATTAGCATATATTTATTTCATAAAATATTAATAAATTATGATTATCGTCAATATTATCATCAAATTTTTTATGTTTTTTTTTACCAATAGATTTTAGTTTTGGAATAATTAAGTCTTTGAATAATTTTTTGGAACAAATAAGTTATTGGACATTCAAAAACATGTTAAATAACTCGTTAAACTTTCTAAAACCTGTTAGATACATCATTATGACCTATACAACTAGTTAATATGAAAAAAATAATAAAAAAAGTCTGAAAAATGAGTCAATTGACTTTCATATTCTGAACGATTAAGTCCCTAAACATATTTTGAACAAAAAAATACTTAAATCTATAAAATGAAACAAATATAAAAAATATATATATATATATATATTTAAAAAAAATTATGGATAAAGTTTATTTTAATTAATAATAAAATATACTAATTAAGGATTTTTCAAAATAAAAAAGAATTTAAAAAAGAAAAATAAATTTATTTAATTAAAAAAATTCAAATTAAAAAAATAAAAAAGATTTAAAAAAAATTATTGATGAAATTTATTTTAATTCACAATAAAATGTATTCTGTTAGTGATTTTCTAAATTAAAAAAATAGAAAATAATTTGATTAAATTATTGACAGATTAACGGTGAAACTTAACTAAATACATAATTAATTAGAATTCGCCGCTAGTGTTCATTGATATATATGCATGAATTACTTATATGTAATTGATGACAAACTTGACCATCATCAGACTCTCTAGCACAGTAACATGTTAATAAGTGTGAAAGATCGTGCTTGAATCTTGTCGGTGATTTCATCAGGCATTCTAACACAGTAGTAACATGTTAATAAGTGTGAAAGATTGTGCTTGAATCTTGTCGGTGATATTATTTCACCGACGACTTAGCGACAAATTTTAATTAATTATGTATTTAGTTAAATTTTATCATTAATCCGTCAATAATTTAATCAAATTAATTTCTATTTTTATAATTTGGAAAATCACCAACGAAATATATTTTAATTTTAATTAAAATAAATTTCATTAGTAATATTTTTTTAATCTGCGAAATCATATACGGAATATATTTTAAGTTTAATTAAAATAAATTTAATCAATAATCTTTTTCTAAATCCTTTTTTTTAGAAAATTACTGACATAATATTTTTTTTATTTTTAATTAATTTTTTTATCAATAATCTTTTTTAAATACAAATATCTTTTTGTAAATGTAAGTACTTTTGTTTCATTTTATAGATGTAAATACTTTTTTTGGTTTAAAAATGTTTAGGAACTTAATCGTTCAAAATATGAAAGGCCATTGACTTTTTTTTTCCCAGAATTTTTTAATTATTTTATCACGTTAACCAGTTTTACATGTCATAAGGATGTATCTAACAAGTTTTAGAAAGTCCAAAAAATTATTTAACAAGTTTTGGAATATCCAAAGATTTATTTATTCTAAAAAATTGTGTAAATAATTAATCATTCCAAATACTAAAGTCTACTGTTTTTTTAGATTTAAAAAAAAAATGAAATAGAGCAAGAGCATCTATAAAAGGAGGTTGTTTAAGTTTTTTTTTTTTGATTTTTGCAAGAATTTTAACTGGTAAATTTTTGTCCGATCACAGATTTTTATTAAAACCCAGATCCTTCCACACTTTATTTTTTCCTATTATTATTTTTATTATTTCTTAATCATTTTATTTTTATTTAAAAAATCTATAAAATATTTAAGTTAAAATTGATGAAGAAAATATAAAATAAAAGTTTAATTTGTTTTATTTTTCGTTTGTCGTAAATTTTTGTGTAAGTTTTTTAATTATCTCATTATATTATTATATAGATTATTTTTCATATACTTATATATATATATATATATATATAGAGAGAGAGAGAGAGAGAGAGAGAGAGAGATGTCACCGCATGAGAATGAGACGATGCTCAAATGAAGTTCATTATCAACAATGCTCCTACTTACTTAAACGTTTTTGGTCTAATCGAGATTATGAGTGATCTATATTTACTATTTGTTATTTAGTGTAACTTGTTATAAAAATTAATATATTTGTAATTTTGGCACTTTTTTAGTTGTAGTGTAAAATTATGTTTATGTTTTAATTGTTTTTAAAATTATGTTTATGTTTTAATTGTTTTTCAAATGTTAAACAAAAATATAAAATAACAAATTAAAATTAATATAAAAAAGTGAAAATTAATAAATCATATTTGAATTTTTTATAATTTTATAATATGTACATATATTAAAATTACTAGAAGCGTACTCGCGCAATGCAGCGAGATACATCGTGTTTTTAATATTTCATTTTATTATTTATTTCAGTCGATGTTATAATATGACTTTATGTGATTTTGAGAAAG